TTTTTCAGAAGTGAAGATTTTTTAAGTTTTTAAAATTTCAATTTTTGTTTTGTTCATCTGCACAATGTCAGACAAAATTTCTTCAATTCAACCATTAATTCCAATCTTCAAATGAGAGAAGTACCATCTTTGGAGTTTGAAAATAAAGACTATATTCAAGTCTCAAAAATTGTGGAATTTGGTTAAAATTGGATTTGATAACCCACCTGGCTCCTGCAACACTGGATCAACAATTGCGGAAAAATCGTAGAAAAGATGCAAAGGCATTGCTACTAATCCAATCGACATTAGAGGATGTTATTTTTCCCCGTATTGCAGCTGCAAGAACATCCAAGATGGCATGGGATATTCTGAAGCAAGAATATTTGAGTGACAAGAAAGTACTTACGATTAAATTGCAAACGCTTCAGCGTGATTTTGAAACTTTGAGTATGAAAGAACAAGAATCAATCCAAGAATATTTGTCAAGTGTTTCTGGTATCGTCAACCAGATAAAGTGTTATGGAGAATATGGATCGGTCAGTTATCAGATTGTCGTCAAAAAGTTTCTCAGAAGTTTGATTCCAAAATATGATCACGGTGTTGCTGCAATTGAGGAATGTAATTATGTGTTCTCTGATGGCGCATGAATCAAGATTGAACAGATCTTATGAAAAATTAGAAGAAAAAAACGTTTCAAATTAAGAGGGAGAGTTCAAATGGGAATTCTGAATTCTATGCAAATCGCCGGCATGCTAGAGGTAGCTTTTGAGGACGAGGTCGTGGTGGAGGTAGGGGCAAGTCTTCTGAACCATGCCAAATAAAAATTCTTTTAAATGCATATATCGCAACAAGTTAGGGCATAAACAGGCTTATTGTTGGGCAAAGCAGAAGGATGAACAGAAGCAAACAAATTTTACAAAGCAAACTGAAGAAACAAGCAAGTTATTTATGACATATTCATTGATTTGTGGTGATGAGAAGAAAGATATTTGATTTCTGGACAATGGTTGCTCAAATCACATGTTGGGAAATAAATATTTATTCAAAGATCTTAATGAGATACAAAAAGGAGAAGTTTGGCTTGGAGATGGAAAAAATGAAAATTGAAGGTGAATGTACAATTATTGTGAAAACAATTCAAGGTGATTTTCGTCTTCTCCATCATGTGTAATTTGTGCCTACATTAGCTCATAATTTTCTAAGTGTAGGACAATTAATTTCAAGTGGCTATTCGGTTATGTTTGATGGTCAATCATGCATTATTCGTGACAACAATTCTTGTCAGACACTAGTGATTATCCGTATGACAAGAATTTGAATGTTTCCATTAGATGTCACTCGATCAGTGGCCAAAGCTTTGGTTGTTAGGTGAAATAAAGAATCAATTATTTGGCATATCCATTATGGACATCTATATGTGAATGATTTGAATTTTTTGTGTAAAAAAGAAAGGTGGTTGGATTGCCAAAAATTTCAAAGATTGATTTTTTTAAAACATGTGTATATAGAAAACAATCCAGAGGTTCATTTCCTAGTGTACAATCTTGGATATCTTCAAATTTTCTTGGAGCTTGTACATGTTGATTTATGTGGGCCAATGCAAACAAAATCACTTAGTGTAAGTTGCTACTTTCTTCTGTTTATAAACGACTATAGTCGCATGACTTGGGTTTATTTCTTGAAATTCAAACCTGAAAGTTTTGATAACTTTAAAAAGTTTAAATTTATGGTAGAAAAGCAATGAGTAAAAAATATTAAGGTGTTGCGCACTGACAGAAGCGGTGAGTTCTTATCTAATGATTTTATCTCTTTCGGCGAAGATCATGGCATCCGAAGGGAACTTACAGTGCCTTATACACCGGAGCAAAATGGTGTCACTAAAAGAAAAAATTAAACAATGGTGAAAATGGCGATGAGTCTTTTAAAAGCTAAAAGGACTTCCAAATTCTTTTTAGGGAGAAGCAGTCGCAACAACTATGTATTTATTAAATATATCTCCAATGAAGGTTGTTTTGAATAGAACGCCATATGAAGTTTGAAATGGTAAAAAATCTCAGGTGGCCATTTAACACTTTTTGGTTGTCCAACATATGCTTTGATTAATCAACATTCAAAACTGGATGAAAAATCTGATAAGTGCATTTTCATTGATTATTGTCCTCAATCAAAAGAATATCGTCTATATAATCCTGTAAATGGCAAAGTGATAAGAAGTAGGAATGTGATATTCAATAAAGATGCCGCATTGAATTGTATTGTTGACAAGAGTGATGTACAAGGTGTTAGATATTTAGATCTTGCATTTTTTAGTGACAGCAACAGCGTCTCGAATACGCCTGCACAACTCAGTTCGACAAACAACAGTAGCGCAGAATCATCACCATCCTCTGTCCAAAACAATAGCATCACTGAATCGATGCCAAGAAAATTCAAATTTGTTACAGAAATATATGAATCGTGTGAGTTTTCTTTGTTAGCGACTGATCCTACGTCTTTTGAAGAAGTTGTAAAAAAATTATAATGGAAAGAAGCTATGGCAGAGGAGTTGAATGCTATTGAAAGAAATACAACTTCGGAGTTGGTCGATACCCCACACGGTATAAATTTTGTGGGCTTGAAGTTTTGTACCAATTACAATCTGGATGGATGGATTCAAAATCACAAAGCTTGACTCATCACAAAAGAATATTCACAACAACATGGTATAGACTTTGACAAAAAAATTCTCCGATTGCAAGCTTTGAAACTATGAAAATTATTTTGGCATTAGCTGCTCAATTAATTTTGCTAATTTATCAATTTGATGTGAAGTCTGTTTTTTTTTTAATGGTGCATTAGAAGATGACGTGTATGTTTCTCAACCTCCTAGATTTAATGTTGTTGGCAGTGAAGATAAGGTTTATAGGTTACGAAAAGCTTTTTATGGGTTGAAACAAGCTCTCCCGACTTGGTATAAAGAAATTGATTCATTTTTTCATGGAAAGGGATTCTCAAGAAGTGAGAATGAGCCTACTCTATATATAAAAAAGAAAGGTAATGGCGATTTGTTGTTGGTTTGTTTATATGTTGATGATATGGTATATCTCGCATCGTCAAAGGCCTTACTTGATGATTTTAAGCATACCATGATGAACAAATTCGAGATGACAGACCTTGGGTTGTTAAAATATTTTTTGGGACTCGAGGTTATTCGGAGTAAAGATGGAATTTTTGTGGATCAAAAGAAGTATTCTGCCGATCTTCTAAAGAGATTTAACGTGGTGAATTATGAAGTTGCAACCACACCAATGAATATTAATGAGATGTTACAGAACGAAGACGGGATTGAAAAAGCAAATGCAACATTATTTAGAAGTTTGGTTGGTGTCTTGAATTATTTAACACACAGTAGACCTGATATTTCTTTCTCAGTTAGTGTTGTGTTCAGATTTATACATCATCCTATGAAACAATATTTTGGGGCTGCTAAGAGGATTCTTCGTTATATTGTTGGGACATTGAATTTTGGCATTTGGTACAGTCAGACAAAAAATTTTAGTCTTGTTGGCTTCATTGATAGTGATTGGGCTGTGTGCATCGATGATCGAGAAAGTGTGTTTGGTAATATATTTAATCTTGGTTCTTGAGCAGTAACATGGAGCTCTAAGAAACAAGACACGGTAGCTTTATCATCATGTGAAGTAGAATATTCAACAGCAACTTCAGCAGCAAAGCAAGCTTTGTGGATTCAGAAACTTCTTACAAATTTGGATCATAAGCAGAAGAAGACGACAAAAAATTTATGTGACAACAAGGTAGCGATCGCAATTACGAAAAATCCAACTTTCCATGGAAGGACAAGATATATTGACGTGCAACATCACTTCATTCGACAACTTGTAGCAAATAGAACAATTGCAGTAACGTTTTGTGGAACCAACAAGCAAAGAAGATATCTCCATTAAATCACTTCCTCAAGCCAAACATGATTATTTTAGGATGCGTACGGGAGACACAAGCTTTGAAGCAAGGGGGAGTGCTAATTAGATGCTTCAAATTATTATCTAATATTGTAATTAAATAAATAATATGTGCATATATTTTTAAGAATTGTATTAATTTATAGGGTAAATTGTTTTTTTAGTCTCGTAACTGGACCCCTTTATCATTTTAGTCTCGTAAGTGGAGCTTGTCGCAAACTAGTCCCATAAGTGAAAAAAATTTCGCTATTTTAGTCCTCCGGCGCCGGAGACGCCCGCGTGGCTCGCCGGAGGTGACGTGTCCGCCAGGTGTCCCGCCAGGTCAGCGACACCTGCGGACATGTGGATTTATTTATTTTTTTCATTTTTTTTAAATTTGTTTTTAATTGGACCAAATAAAAAAAATAAAAATAAATACAAATAAAATTAAAAATAAATTAAAAATAAGTTTAAAAAAAATTAAAAATGAAAAAAAAAAAAAAAAAAAATCCACGTGTCCGCCAGGTCAGCGACACCTGGCGGACACGTCACCTCCGGCGAGCCACGCGGGCATCTCCGGCGCCGGAGGATTAAAACATGCGAAATTTTTTCACTTATGGGACTAGTTTGCGGCAGGCTCCATTTACGGGACTAACATGATAAGGGGTCCAGTTACGAGACAAAAAAAAAAAAAAAACAGTTTACCCTAATTTATATTTAGGATGTGCAATTGTTAGTTTAAATTTGAAATTTTAATATTTAATAATTAGTATCAGATTTATTATATTATAATTAACAACGGAAATAAAATTTTACTTTGTTTTTATTCGTATTTTTTCTCTACGTATTTTCTCTTCCTGTTGTGCTTTAACATTTATTTTACATAATATTTGCTATCTAGATTTTTGAAGATTTTTTATTGGTGCTTTCTGAAGTCTTAATAGATATTGTTCAAAAAACTAAACATTGTACTCATTCTCATAAATCAGCACAAGACCCTATTACTTATATAGAAATTTAGTGCTAGATATAAATTTTGAAGTAACTAAAAACAAATAAAAAAATGAAAACACCCCACAATTTCTGTAACTTATTTTATTGGAAATAAATTGAACCTGAGATAGAAGCATCAGCCTAACTCAAATTGAAGCCAAATTAAAATGCATGCATGCATGCAACATTACCCTAACTTAAACAAACTAAAATTACAATCATAAAACCAAATCAAAATAAAAAGCACTCTAAGGCATAATGCCGCCGACGCCACCCACGCCGCCAACTCCGCCGCCGACGCCGACACCGCCAACTTTACCAAGCCCGACACCACCAACGCCGCCAAGCCCACTGGCGCCACCAAGTCCTCCTATGCCGCCAAGCACCGGAATGACGCCGCCCCAGCCGCCGATGCCGCCCCAGCTGCCTACGCCGCCGTACGTGATGAAATTCTTCTGATCTCCGACCGGCGCCGCCGCCGCCGCCGCCGAAACAGCCGCCGTGGCTTGAGCCGCTGGGGACAATGCTGATGCATCATGATGATCATCTTTAGGGTTAGAATGGACGGCTGGGATTGTTCTTGCGGATGCATGAAGAATTGCAATTAGGGCAAGGACGATGAAGAGATGGATTTTTGCCATTTTTGGTAAATTACAAATACAGAAGTTTAGCAAACCCTAAAAATATGTGAAAGGGAATGTCTTCTTGTTTGTTTGAGGGTTTTTAAAAGCATATGGCTATTTATAGGCAAATGTGCAATTTTGAGGTTGCAAGAAAGTGGGGGTGGAGTAGGGTTGGGTTACCGGGGGTAGAGGTAGTAAATATGTGCATTTAATTTTTAGGGTTAGAAACCTCGAGAACTGTAATTTTATTTTTATTTTCTTTTATTTTTGGTGACTGCGGAAGAGGCAGAGTTAGGTGAGTGAAAAGGAGAGATCATTAATTAATTGCAATTATATGTGAAGATGGGAAGAAAAAAATGTCAACTCCTATTTAATTTATTATTATTATTATTATTATTGGAAAAAATTAATTTTTGAATTAATATAATCAAAATTTATCAATTTTGATCCAATATTAAAACTCATAAATTTTGGTCTATTATAAACATTTTCATTCAATTTTGATATCACCGTTAAAAAATTTAACGAAAATTGCTACGTGGACGTAACGGGGTTGACGTAGCACCTAACTTAGAAACAACACGATCATGTACAATTATACACGGTCATGTTGTCATACGGCCGTGTACTTTTATGTTTTGGTCTAAATTTTATTTTTTTATATTATTTTTTAAAAAAATATTTTGAATTTAGAGTAGTTGATATATTAAAATGAAAAAAAAAAAAATCAATAGTAATCATAATATAACTAAAATGTATCAATTTTAGTTTAAAATATATAACTTTATGGAGTATATGTTTTATTTTGCCTAAAATTCTACTATTCACCAAAATTTTTATAATTGTATTGAAATGTAAAAATTAATTTTTAATATAATATACAAAATAAAAAATAGTTGTATAATTTGATGTATGTGAGAGAAAAAAATTTGGTTAATAGTAGAATTTTAGGCAATATTATCCAAAATATCATACTCGGTAATTTTTATATTTGAACTAAAATTTATACATTTTAATTATATGATAATTACTATTAATTTTCTCCATTTTAATTATATCAAATATTCTAATTTTTTTTTTTTAAAAAAAAGATATAACAAAAAAAATAAAATTTTAGACCAAAACAAAAAGTACACGACCGTGTAGAATTAAACATGTCCGTGTGACAACATAGTCGTGTATAATTACACACTGAATCATACATAGTCGTGTTATTTCCATGTCAGCTGTCACATCAACTCTGTTACGTCCACGTCAATTATTTCCATTAATTTTTTAACGATGAGACCAAAATGATTGAAATTGTTTATAATTGGACCAAAATTGACTAGTTCTTTATATCGAGATCAAAATTGATAAATTTTCGTTATATTTGAACTAAAATTGATTTTTTTCCTATTATTATTATTATTATTATTATTATTATTATTATTATTATTGTTATTGCAATATTAAATTTATTTATTTACTATTTTTATTTTCTTTTACTAATTGCAATAGAACATTTTTTTTCCCTGGAAACTGTGTGGACCGATATGAATAATGTGCTCAACGAATTTTCTATATAATTTAATATATTTTAAATATTTGTTCAATATTATATTTTTGAAAATTGATGAATTGTGTTTGTCTTTACTTATTTGGATTCATTACAAGCATAAAATTTATTGTATAATTCATCTTGTCTTCTTAGTTAAAATGGTGTTTAATTAGTGTATTTATTTGTAATTTTTTTTATTGAAATATTAAGTTAATTAAATATAATAGTTTGTAAGATAAAATAATATTATATTTATATCTAGAATAATAGTTGATGTAGTAAAAAATTTGAAAACAAAAATATCTCCAAATAAATTGTGAAATATTTTGTGCTTAAAGTGATATATGCATTTACTACTACTATTACTACTACTATTATTATTATTATTATTATTATTATTATTATTGCTTTATGACCCTTGTCATGCCCAACCAAACTTCTCTGAGCAGGCATACGTTATAATACTACATAAGTAAATATAAAATAAATCATTTTACTACCATGAACAAATGAAAAAAAAAAAAAAACTATTACTCCTACTAATAATAAAAAATTTTTGGGTAAATTATATACACTTCTTTATATTTTAGTAAAAATGCAAACACACTGTGTTTTATTTATTATGTAAAATTTAATTATGTTAATATAAAGTTTACACTACTACTACTAATAAAAAAAAATCTTGGATAAATTATGTAACATCTCCTTATATTTTAGTAAAATACACAAAACACCTTGTATTTTTTTTATTGCGTTAAACCACTTTGTGTTAATGTAAAATTTATATGAAACACTATTCTTGTCCAAAACTGATGTTTGATTCTAAAGAAAGACCTAAATTACGCAAGTTTTAATTAGAACCAAATATCAGTTATGGACAAAAATGGTATTTTGTATAAACTTTACATTAACACAAGGAGTTTCACGCAATAAAACAAATATAGAATATTTTGTGCATTTTTATTAAAATACAACCGTATTATATAATTTACCAAAAAATCTTCCAAACACATCAAAATTTTGGTGAATTGAACAGTAAAAGATCTTGAAAAGATAGTAAAAAGAACACAACCTAAAACCTTTGTTCGCTTTGTATATATATTTTTACATTTTTAGAATTTAATTTGTCAAAATTTCTATAAAAACATCATATTCAACGTTAATTTTATATATATATATATATATATATATAAGAGATCACTTCCGACAATCATATACCTAAAAAGAACATAAAAAATAAAAATACAATACCTAAAAAATTATTAAAATAACATGCTTTTGGTTTTTAATTTTAATATTTTGTGGATATTACCAAAAATAAATATCTCTCCGTACCAAATCACTCTAATTATTTACCTTTTACAAATATGTTTTTTAATATTTGTATTATATATGTATATGTATATTATAAGAATTTTTTTATAATTACATAGTTTTACAGTTACTAGGAAAAATAAATAAACGAATATATATAGATAAAAGTGAAAAAAGTTAAGTACTCCCTCCATGGTCTCTATTTACATATATATTTTTTTAATATTAGTATTATTTTGTATATAATATAAATTAATATAAAAAAAAGACTAAAATACTTACATTAATATTGTGTAATATAAAATAACAATATTTGTAGATATTTTTTTAATTAGGTACTTAATATAATTACCAAATAAAAAAATAACGATCTTATTTAGAAAACGGTCAAATACAAAAAATAACAATCTTTTTATGAAACAAAAAAAAAAAAAAGATATTAATTTAGAAGTAAGAAAAATATGAAATATAATACGTTGTACGCGTCTAAATGTCACATTTATATTTTGAATAATTGTATTAATATTAAAAATATTTTTATATTTGTATAATTTTTTGTAATTATATTCTTTTATTAGTATTATAAAACACAAATATAATTATTTTTATATTTTTTTTAATTTTTATTATATTTTGATATAATAATTAATATTTAAAGATTAACACACAAAAAAACAAAAAAATCTTTAGTGCATGATGGATGTAGTATTAGAAAAACTGCAATAAAACTTTCTCTGTCCCACTTATAATATTACATTTCCATTTTCGTCCATATTACATATTATGTCATTTTTTAAAAATATATATATTAAATTATATTTTAAAAAATATATATATTAGAAAAATTAGTTATTTTAATCATAATATAATTAATTTTATTAATATATTTTTAATTATTTACTAATTATATTTCTCCAAATGTTCAAATCGACAATAACTCTGCTACAATATTTGAAAAAAAAGCAATATATAATATTATTATTTCCATTTTTCAAATATATGTTCATTTTTTTTTTAATTATTATAAAAAAATATTTTTTTAAGTAAAAGAATTATTGTACTTTTATATTTTTTTACTATAAAAAAAATTAATAATTTATTATCCATTTTTATAAAATTTGTATGCCATCAGGTGAACACACATTTACCTTACTGATGAGTAATAAATCCGAACTAGTACAGTTTTCAATTGAAGACAGCTAAAATTAAATAAAAATGAATTTGCAGTTAATTTTCATCAAGTTCGATGGCATGCAATCCATGCAAGCTGTTTGTTATACACTTGTCGGAATTGCAGAAACGGTAAGTGTTGTGTAATATAGAGGGATATATAATTAATTAAATGCATTTATTGTGACTCCCAGACCACCTGCTTAATGTTTTATTTTATTATTTTTTAATGTAATAGTAGTTTTTAATAAATTATGGTACAAATTTTATTATTATTATTATTATTATTATTATTATTATTATTTTGTCTATTTTCTTTATTTGGATTGGTTTGAAAATTTAAAATTATAATTTGAATAATATTTAATTTAATATTTTTTAAAAATATTATACTCCCTCCGTCCCGGTGCAAGGTTATCGTTTACTTTTTTTCACGTAGATTTTTTAATATTAGTATTATAATGGATTGTAGTAAAAAAGACAAAAATACCTCTATTAGTATTGTGTAATATAATATGTTAGGTAGGCAGTACAATTACTAAATTAGAAAATAATAACCTTGTTTTAGAAAGGACGAAAATTGAAAATAATAACCTTTCAATGAAACGGAGAGAATATATTTTTTTTCAAAAATATAAACAATAAAAAATTCGATAAACTATAAATAAAAAGAAACACACCATTTAATTTTTTTTAATATAAATTATAAATCCTATCATTTAAACTGAACCGAAGACACAAACACAAACTAAACACACCTGCAATCTCTTACTCATCTGTGCAATTCACACTCGTAATGAACTTTCTTTTTTTTTTTAGATTAGATTATATTTTTTTTAGAAAAAAAGATAAATAATAATTTGATACAGTATCATCTAATATTATATTATCCCACTCACTTATAAAATATACATATTTTTATTTTAAATTATCTGATTATAGAGTAGTCATTTGTTTTAGTAATCATAAATCCCATATTTTTCTACTAATACCTATATTTTATCATCATATTATTATTTTTATATCAAAATAATAAAATTTAAATTATCTTTATACTATTTTTAACTATACATTACAATTAA